GCATTCAGCAAAACTAAATTTGTACATTTAGTTTTATGAATTTCAGCACACTTAGAGATTTGTATCAGTATTGCCACAATTAGCTATTTGGTTTTGGTTTGGGGGCCACACCCGGGTTTGCAACATTTAACCTCTCACAATACTGATATTTGTTCCTATGGTTTGTATTTTCCATAATGTTGTGTAAGTCATATCGCCCTATCAAATGTGCTTAGTTCAGTGAAATTTTATATATTCACATGGATAATATATTCACCACTAATTCAAGATTATTTTTAAAGACGACACAAAAATGTACCTAATACTGCTGTGGGCTACAAAGCAGTATATTGGGATCACAAAACTGCAAGGTGTCTAACCATATGCACAATCATGTTCTCAGAACATATTGCTACTTTAGATTTGAAGAAGCCTTGCCTAACTATAGAAAAATCACATCTGGAAAACATGCTGCCAAATAGTGACAACATGTTGCACAATGATTATCATACCACTTATAAATAACATAAAATATCACTCTGCTGTAAGGCTATCTAATGTCTCCAATCCTTAACCCCCAGAACAGAGTGCTCTCTTCAGTCTATCCTGCACTCAATAATCTGTTTTGTATTTGCCATTGCTTTACCCTTTGGTAGATAGACCCTCGGCTCGTGGCAATTACCAGTCACTCCCCATTCCGTCCTATTGCTAATCCCTGGCAACAATCAATCACATGTCCCTATGGATTTGTCTATTCTGGGTATTCCACACAAATAGTATGTGGTCTTTTATGTCTGGGTTTCTTCATTAGCATAGTGTTTCCAAAGTTCATTTATATAGTAGTGTGTATCAGTACTTCATTCTTTTTTATTTTTTAAATATATTTTTATTTAATTAAAGGGCTGTGATTTGCAAAGTTATTGATTGATAGATGAGTCTTAGGCATACAATGCTCCAACACCAACACCATTTCTTTTTATATTTGAGTGTTACATTGCCTGGATATATGGCGTTTTGAATTTTTGATTTTGGATAGGCACATATGACAATACTCAGGTCTTATCCCTGACTGTGCTCAGGGATTACTCCTGGCAGTGCTCAAGGATCATATGCAGTGCCAGAGATCAAACCAGGGTCAGCCACGTGCAAGACAAATAAGTTATTCCTTACTATTTCTGTGGCACGACATTTTATTTTGTTTTCCCTCATCAGTTTCATAAAACATAGGCTATTTTTTGCCTTATTAGCTGTTATACTGAAAGCTGCTATGAGAATGTGTACAAGATTTTATGTGGACGATGGTTTCATTTCTCTGTGTGCACATATAAAATTAGATCTCCAGGGTAACGTTGAAACTCTATGTTTAATTTTTGCAAAGACTGCCAAACTGTTTTCTTAAGTGTATGCAACATTTTATATCATTGCCAGCAGTGCATGAGGGTTCAAATTTTCTACACTTTCTCCATTTACTTTGTTTGCATTTGTTTTACCAGAATCATCCTAAAGGGTGTGAAATGTTATCTTCTCATTTTGATTTGCATGACTCTCCTGGTTAATAATTCCGAATATCATTTAATTTGCTTAGTAAAATGTGTCCATTGGGTAAATGTGTCTTTGCAGAAATGGAAAATAAACCCATTTCTCATTTTAAAATTGGATTGCCTTTTATTGTTAAGTTGTAAGAGCTCTTTATATATCCTAAGTAAAATCTCTTTATAAACTTGTGTGTCATTGTTTTGTTCCATCCTTTGAATCTTCTTTGTTGTCTTTTTCAGTTTACTTGAGATATAATATACATAAAACATATTTAACATGCACATCATATTAATTTGATATGTAATTTGATATATATATTCATATTTATGCTTTTTCCATAGTGCTTTTGTTCTGTTTTTTTTGTATTTTGCTCTTTGAGTCACACCTGGTGGTGCTCAGGACTTTTATCTGGCTCAACAAAAACTACACGTTTTGTCGAGATCAATGTTTGATAGTTTGAATTTAGATTGCTCTTTCAGCAGATAGAAATATGGTAATATTCCCTTTAAAATTTTCCCTTTAACACATGCAAATTCAATTTTGTAGGGACAGAAGTCACTCTTTATGAATGAATCACTAAAGTATAATAATAATAGCTTCTGCCTCAATTTCTATGCTCTGATATCATAATTGTAAGAGAAATATTGGGAGCTGGTTCAGAAGACATACCACATCCAAAAGATAATTCCTCAAATTAACAATATGTGGTCTTACAACTGAGGTTATAACTAATTCTGCACTATGTGATTTCACCATTTTATAAGATTATCTGCTTCTGGCTGATAATATTCATGGTAAGATCAAAAAAATTCATGTATGTAAGACCATTATCAGTTTTTTTTATTAAATAAGCCATTTGATTAAAAGAAATGTTGCAAGTTATTTTTTATGATTTATAAGGTATTCAGGAAATCCATAGGTAGTAATATTAACAGAAACATTCAATAGGCAAGGTTTTCTAGTGCATTGATATCTAGATATTGGTTATCTAGTGAAATGAGAGCAAATATCTCTTTCCAGATAATAAATATAACCACCCTATTCCCACATGGCTGTATGGTTATGCTCTGCTATGGTACTAAACCAGCAACTCAACAATGATCATCACTTCTTTAAGCATAGTGATTGTTTAACATGAATTATGGTTAATTTTTTATTAGGATAAACTTATGTTATTTAATTGTATCTAACTCTGAGTCTCACCATCATAGTTGTGATTCATGATTTCATTCAGCAAACTCTGGTATTGCTGAGCAAGGACATTGACAGATAAAATGTTTACTTTCCACAATATTTTAGTACTTGCTTGGTCCTCATCTTGTATCTATAATTTAGATAGTTGAATGTTGTTTTTCACACTCAAATCTATAGGCATGTCGATTAATCAATCAATTAAAATTCATTTACAATAGGCCACTGGGTTTAAGGATTATTCTGTACCCCATGGTAAGCTATTTGGTTCTTATTCAAGCCAAACTAGCACATGATGAGTTATCTCTCAAAAAAAGAGGCTTGATCCAAGATCTGTGAGGGAAATACAGGGGACTTGAATCTGAATCTTCTACTGAAGCTTGTCACCATTAATATACAGAAACCTGAGCTACACTAGATATTTTGACAAGATTGAATCTTTTGCCCGCAAAACCCATTTCAGAGGTAATATAAACCAGTCACTATTTTATCTGTTGGGATGGGATAATGATCAAGGTTCCTGTAAACTGAATTACTCTAGAGATAATGGCCAGCTTATAGACCTCAGAAATGAGGGCATTCTGGTGTCGGTGGGTATAATAAAGCAATAGGGTTAAAGTAAAATTGACCTTTTAAATGTCTTTTTTTAAATTTTAACATTGCATTTATTCTTACATCTTTATTGAAAATCAAATGATTCTGATTTCTGATGAGAAGCAAATGTTTAATGTTTAACATTCTGTAGAATGTTTAAGCTATGCAAGAGAAAAGTGTTATTATTGACATTGCTAGTTAAAGAAGTTTCAACCATTGAAATTTCAATATGTCCCTGTTAGTTTTCTTCTTTTCTTTTTGACCACACCCAGCAGTACTCAGGGCTTACTCCTGGCTCTGCACTTAGAAATTACTCGTGGTGGGCTTAGGGGACCATATGGGGTGTCCGGAACAAAGCTGGTCAACCATGTGCAAGGAAGTGTCCTACCCAGTACACTATCTCTCAAACCCCCTGCTCTTTTTTCTTGTTATCACTTTGTCTCTGGCTTGAATAATCCTGATTTTTGAATGAAGTGGCCACAATGTAAGATAGCAACAAATGGAAGAAACACGCAGACACATGCAGTACCCTTAGATACTTATTTAGAAACCCGGAGATCAACAGCAGATGTTGGGAGGACTTGACTGGGCAGGTTGCACACTTGAGTTGGACCACCCAACTAACAGCTAGCTTAAGCCCTGCTGCACCAACACCTTCCAGAGAAAGAAAAGAAAAATCACTCTACTCAAGGCAGCTTACAGTTAAGCATATGAATGGAATGCACTTAACAACAAACCATCAACTGCTATATATATAAAGGAAGACTTACTGTAGTAGAATTAGATAAATTATAATTATTAGCATACTGTTAACTCTGAGATTTCTGAAAGACAAAGATGCAACAATGATTTTTCAAACTGATTATATTTTAATACATGTAGCAACAATTGTGAAGATAGTAGTTTATTAGTCTCTCATCTTTTTCTTTTTTTCCTCCAATTTAGTCTCATCTTTTTCTTTTTCTGTCTTAGAGTTTGTTCTGATTTTATGAATTCGATTTGGATACTTCTTGTCGCTTTATGACACATTTGATACAAAGTGGTAAGTTAGTAACAAATAGGGAATTTGAGGGGAAATGCATTAATATTTATCTTATACCCCACCAGACACAACTTCACATAAAAAGGTCTCTGAGTCAAAATTGAACTCTCAAAGATAAATGTTGAATATTCCATTAACCAAATTATTATATGAGGATGAAATGTTTTTGGGTCCTTTTCCAATTCCATTCTCCATAAAATTCTGAAACTATTTCTTTGTCTTGTCCCTATACTCCTTGTATACCATTGATCTTATTGCAAAAAAACCAGTTGTTGAAGGCATGAACTAAAATACCTTAATGAATTGGCATGTTTGATTACTTTATCCCAAGAAGTGAAAGAAAGAGCTACACTTTCTTAGAAGCCTGATGGACTGTCCCTACGCAGATTAAACCAAGGTTTTGGTCCAATAAAAAATTGCCATTTCTCTAAAAGAAAAGGCTAGCACATTGCTCATTAGAGCGTTTTGAGACTTGCCTATGCAATCTTTTTGCTATTCTGCAATGTCGTGTTGATTACAAATAAAAATGTTTCTAGCTGTTGATGCTGGCTCTGAATTAAAAAAAAACATGTAATTAATGATAGGAGGTTGGGGGGGGATTCGCTAAATCCTGAGTTATAGGGGAGAAGCTGGACAAGGCACTAGGACCTAGAAGGCATCTATCCACCCTGGCAGGAATTTCTTGCTTGGAGCTCAGACAACAAAGGCATAGAGAGATTGGTTTTCTTTCTCTCAGCATCTCCACCCAACCAGCAGAAAACCGGTGAGTGGGGCTTTCAAGTGATTTTCAGGCAGCATGTAACAGATGTCAAACGGGAAAGCACAAGTCAAAGTGTGCTCTCTCTCTTTTTCTCTCTCTTTTCTCATCTTTTCTTGCTTTATTCTATCGGATTTTTCCCTAAGCTTATACCTGGGATTTTCCTTTGGAAAAGTGAGTTTGCCCTTCCTTTGTTTTCACTGTGATGCTTATTTAGAATACTAGTCTAGATGGATGATAAAGCAAACCAAGCATAACTGGCATGCCTGGGGAAATGCTTGCTGCTTGTCTTGAGGAGGTGGGGTCTCTTACCACTGCAGGGTGTCTGACAGAGACAATGCTGAGCTCAGCACAGGTCATGGTGACATTGGAGAAAAACGGGGGTGAGACTGGCAAATCTGCTAGGCACCAGACCTCCTTTATCTCTTGCTCTCCTTGTCCTTTGCAAATAATTCAATGTGGCAGTGTGTGGCAGCTGAGCCCTGCTTGCATTGAGAGTCCTTTTATCCCTGTCTGTGAGATGCATGTTAATACTTTGGTTCCTAGGCTCTCACTATATTTGCTAGCATTAAGAGTTTCTGTTTTATTTCTCTCTCTCTTTTTTGCTTTCTGTTGTTGATGGTTGTTGAATAGAATGAGGAGAAAGCAGAGCCTGGCAGAAGACCAGATCTTTTGCCTCGGTTAATACACCTGGGGAATAGACAAGTTTGGTGTGAATAGCCTGCTGTGAAGGCAAGATGCTATTTCAGTCAGGGTAGAAAGCCAGAACAATGAAAGGTGTGCTTGCTTCTAAAGAAGGTCCCATATGCTGTTCAGGAACTCATTTGGGAATCTTTCAACAATTAAATTATTCCATTAAGGGGTGGTACTACAATGGTGTGGAGGAGAAAGAGCATCTAAAACAAACAAAAAGGGTTTCTGACCAAAGGGGAAAGCAGAACTAATAGCTTATTAAATGATTAATTTGTCTAATCCTTTTTTCCAGCTTATTTCTTATGAATTATGTCGAATAGTTACACCATCTTTGTGGCGAAAGGGTTTGATGAATAGCACAAAGGCACTGGTTAGTCCCTGGAGGCTATCCCTGTAAAGGAGAATTCTAGTTTATTCCAGGGGGAGGGGAGGCACACAGTAGAGTAAGAGAGAGGGTTTGGAATAAAATTAAAACATTCTCCCATACTCATTTTGCAGAGATTTAAAGACTGCCTCCTAAGCTGTAGAAGATAACCTTGGCTAGCTCCTTCTATTCTCCTCAAGGAGAATTTTATCAGGCGTTGGATTCATTTACAACTGTTAGTCGTGTGGGCATGTGTGAGGAAACAGATGCCAGTTTTAATGTATTTAGCCTAAAGTTACAATTTGATAGGAGTCACTGTCAATATATCCTAGGGTTTTAAGCTATTTCAAAATCTTGCCGTTGTCTGTGTTTGGAACAGTGCCCAAAGTGCCTCCTTCCCTACAACTCACCCCCACCCCCAATAGCCACCAGCACCCCTCCCCCTCCTTCTTCTCTATTAAGATCAATATTCTGCAGGACAGGGGCAAGAAGCAGATGGGTCACTGGCTTTAAAAAAAATTCTTTTCAAAAGCAGCAGATTGCAGATCTAGAGCTGGCAAATATTTTAATTTCTTTTCCCCCCACCTTGCCCCCTTTGTTTTTGCCTCATTTCATCCCCACCCGCTTTTCTAACACTCAGGTCTCTGCGGTTCCACCAAAATATGGAACTTGATTTTGGACATTTTGATGAAAGAGATAAGACATCCAGGAACATGCGAGGCTCTCGGATGAATGGGCTGCCTAGCCCCACTCACAGCGCCCATTGTAGTTTCTACCGAACCAGAACCTTGCAGGCTCTGAGTAATGAGAAGAAAGCTAAGAAGGTACGTTTCTACCGCAATGGGGACCGCTACTTCAAGGGAATTGTGTATGCCGTGTCCTCTGACCGTTTTCGCAGCTTTGATGCCTTGCTGGCCGACCTGACTCGATCTCTGTCTGACAACATCAACCTGCCTCAGGGAGTGCGCTACATTTACACCATTGATGGATCCAGGAAAATCGGGAGCATGGATGAACTGGAGGAAGGTACTCATCAAGGTGTGGGTGGTAGCCTTTGGTGGGAGGCAGCATCATTAGCTATGGTGAAAAAATTTAAATTTCATTGAAAGTGATTAGGAAATATCTTTGTCAACCCCCCAGGTTGATGCTGAAATCTCTCATTTTATAGGCATCAATCGAGCCATTAGTCATTACTCCCATGGCTCTGCCTTAGCTGGGGCTGAATGTGGATGATGGTAATAATGAATTGTGCTGATCTGTCGGGTTATACAAAGGAAAATCTGAATTATGTTGGTTATCTCGATACTGTTCTTAAATTTAAGAAACCCTATTGAGGCAAACTATGAAATCATTAGGATTGTAACATAAAGAAAGGGGTTTTGTAAAGTTAACAAAAGCTATTATTCCCAGACTTTTTTAAAAACAAATGAGACACTATATACCTAATGAAAATATGCAGCCTAAAAGCAATACTTCATAGATATATGCTCAAAGGGTTATACTTTTAAGTAAGTAGTCACCACTCAGCTGTTGCTTCTAAAGACCCCACTTCAGGGTGTGTCCCTAAAGCTGAGGTCATTGTGAGAAATGCCAAAGAAAGCTGTAGGTATGTCTGGCATTCTAATAAAGACCATTTCTATTAGAAGAGGAACGGACTCATTGTACCTAAATCCCTTTAAATCCTCTCTAGATTTTGTCTTTAGTAATTGAATTTTATGACTAGGTTGCTGAAAATCCTGACGACCTCCATACCCACCACAAAATATGAGAAATTATAGGTCTTACAAAACTTGTTCAGCCATGTAATTTGTTTGTAACCATGTGAAAAAACCACGGGTGCAATGATGGAACAGTTTATTATTATTATTATTATTATTATTATTATTACTTTGTGGTATCAAGTCAATTAGACTAAGGATGTTTTCCTTATCTGAACACTTAGATTAGTACCACAAATGTGATCAGTTTAACCTGACACAGTGCTGTGAAGGGCACCTTTTAGGAGTGGTGATAATAAAAAATGTTTTTCTCAAATCTCTCCCCATCTTCATCACTCTCTCCTTACTCTTTCCATTCTGTGAGCAAAGGTGAGCTTAGAGAGAGCATGCTGGTCTTGAGAGAAACCAAACTACGAAACACCAACAAGAAAGGAGAAACAGCATATTAAATGATTTGGTGTGGGAGGACCCCGCCTCCACTTCACTGCTTCTAGGTTTCTTGCATTCCTAGACAAAGGAGCATGAGGGATTCCCTTGTTAAAGATCATGCTCTTGCAAGCAGCTACTATTTTCCAAGTCAGGTCCAGTAATTTGGGACCCATTGCTTGCAAGAAACAGTGTCCATATGGTTACTGGATCTGGGTCTCAAAATTGGTATCTGAGGTTCTTTTTTTTTAAATAGCTGACCTTGAAAAATTTATGCTGAAGAGATTTAATTATTTGAGCATATGCTGGATTTTCTTGAACATTGCTGGATTTTTTTTGAACATTGAAGAAATGGACAATACAGAGCGCATCTTAAAATAATGGAAAGGAGAGACAGGGCAAACTTGAAAGACAGGGCTTGAAGCTAGGTTGAAGGAGCTGTCCAACAGGGTGTGTGTCTTTGTTACTGTGAAATGTACGGATCACTCAAATTTGAAGTGCATTTTAAAAAAAAATAACATTCACAAACAAAGAACCCTGATTCACTCAATATTTCCTCATTTTCACTCTCTCACCTAAAGATCACAATATACATTAGGGAAGAAGTCTGGGTCATGTCATTGTGTTTGGAGTAAAGGTTTAAATGTTCTTGTTTCTGATAAAAGAGAGTTGTCATGCATGGTTATCCCCCATGAAAAATACATTTTAAAACATATCTTACTCAAGATAAAGTGCTTGATATTTATTTCCATCCTGGATGTGTTGATGTGTGTGTGTATGTATGTATGTATGTATGTATGTATGTATGTGTTTAGTATTGCTGTGATCATCTTAGTCCAGTATAATTAATAAATGAAATTTGGAAGACTGCAGATTTCTTTATTCTTGAGTTTTCTTGAGTCCTACTAGATTAGATTCCTATCATTTACCCTTTCTGGGTGTGATGGTAATACTTCTTGGTGAATTCTTGCACTGTGTAGAATGTGATCGGACTCACAATTGCTTTTATTCATATTCCATCTATAGCCACAAGGTGCAGTGGGTTTCATTGCCCTCTCATTCCTAATATAGCCTAGTCAAAGAAAATTCTGTGTTATTTATGGGATAATGTTGAGATATGTCACTGAGTTTCCTGCTATCACAGTCTGATGGCAAATGTCATTGGGAAAAAGAGGTAAAGAAAAGAGGTTCTTTTCTTTATTTTGTTCTTCAGAATTACACATCTTGGAATAAAGGAAAATGTCTCTAGGACTTTCACCTTTAGCAGAGTTTGAAAAAAAAACTAAACCATGCACATTGTTCCGTGAGAGACTTTTTAGAGGCAGAATATTATAGCAGAAAAAGACGTTTTGGGTTTGTACTTGATTTGAACTGAAAATTTGCCACATGCTAGTTGTGTGATTAGGATTATTATTCAGAATCACAGAGCCTCAGTTTTTCTTCTGTTAATGTAAAATTCCTGGTTTGAGGATTAAATAACACAGAATATGGAGTATTTAGTATTTTTACTGGCATACAATAGTATTCAATAAAGGGTAGAAATTACCATTTGAGTCACTCTGGTTTACAGCTAGTTAGCTATATTGTCAAAGTTTTGCCTTTATATAACTAATGTTTTATTTTTGTAAATACAACATTGTTATGGCATAATTTTCATACCACAAAATTCACAATTTAAGTGTATAATCCATTCAAGTTTATAATAAAAATATATAAGTTTTTTTAAAAGTTACCAAGGTTACAACCATCACAATCTAATTTTTGTTAATTTTCAGCAACATCTACTTCAAATCTGTACCAAATACCTGTCGTCGCCCATTTCTTCCATTTTTTCCAGCCCTAGAAAACAAGTACTTACTTTCTGTCTATTATTTATTTTTCTATTCTAGACACTTTTGAAATATTCAAATATTCCTTCATACCTGATATGTTATGGTCCCCTGAGAACTTCCCTGAGTAGTTCCTGAGCACAGAGCTAAGAGTATCTCACCAAGCACCACTGGGTGTGGCCATAAAACAAAACAAAATAAAGGATACACTAGGATATCTGTGACTGACTAATTTCAATGAACAATTTTCCTTAGGCTCAACCATGTTATATTGCATGAATTAGTGTTCAAATTTTTGGTTATTAAAGAACTGTGATTTACAACATTGTTGCTAGTTGAGTGTTAGGTATATAATATTTCAACATCAGTCACACTACCACTGTGAACTTCTCTCCAACAGTGTCCCCATATTCCCTCTCCACCCCAAGTACCCACTCCACCCCTGTCTATTTAACAAGCTCATTTCAATGTTCCTGAGGTTGCACCTTAGATCTTATGTTTTCAGTTTTGTTGAGGCTGTGCTTTGTATATATGACTATACCATTCACCCATATCACCATACCACTGAAGACCTGATGCCCACTCTTCTTTATGACTATATAGTATTCTATTTTGTATTATGACTATATAGTATACGTTTTGTATCTTTTATGACTATATAGTATTTAATTTGGTATTTCATATATTACATTTTGTATGTATATTGCAGGGCTGGAGCTATAGCATAACGGGTAGGGCATTTGTCTTGCATGCAGCCAACCAGGCCGAGCCAGGTTCAATTCCTCCGCCCCTCTCAGAGAGCCCGGCAAGCTACCGAGAGTATCTCGCCCATGATGTATTCGATATGCCAAACACAGTAACAAGTCTCACAATGGAGACATTACTGGGCCCGCTCGAGCAAATCGATGAACAATGGGAGGACAGTGACAGTGATGTATATTGCAATATATTGTGTATCTGTAAAATGGTAACATATTCATTCTTTATCAATCATGTTAGTGCTTTGTGAAGATAAAATTATAAAATATGGAATCCATGGACAAGGTAAAGTCGAAGCTGTAATGCAGTAACATTGCCAGTGGTGTAAGCTTAATACTAACTATAACAGTTATGGCGCGAGTGAGAAGTAAAATTGAAGAGTGGTTCCATTATGGCTTTCTGAATCATTTATTTACTTGTTTTAGGGGATTGCTCCCTAGTGATGCTTAGCAGCTCCAGGGTCACTTTCAGAAATACTTAGACCAGTGGAGCTGACCTGAAGTTGAAGTACTCAGGCCCACTGATGCAGTATATCAGGCCAAGCAGTACTGGGAGTTCCCATGTCTTCACTTTCCTATGCTTTGCGTGAATAGGAGGCAGGATTATGCAGGGTGAAGATATAATTCAAGGCAGTCAGACCTTTGTGTTTGTCAAACCTTTATGGTCCTCAGAATCAGATTTTTAAACAAATACAAATTCATGGACCTAACCCAATTCTACTGAATCAGAATTCTCAAATTAGGGACCCAGTACCTTATGATTTTATAGTTATTTCCAGGAGATTTGAGAACCAAGGCTTGGGAAATACTGAATTGGGTGATCAAATAAGTCCTTTTCCACTAATTACTGCAGTAGAAGTTCCTAGGAAATCAGACATCCTTGTCTTATTTAGATCTTTAAGAAGTAATTCCATGTAGGACAAACAATGTTTACAAATTACCCAATCATTAAATATGTAGTCCAAAGTGAAGATAAAAAGAAGTAATTGGGTAACATAATGGTATATGGCACTTCTTTGTTTAAAGCTTTTAGCCTTCCTACATAAAAGAGCAAAGAGAGTATTTTAGAGCAAAGTTGGAGTATTGATGTCAGCTTAGCCACAGCACCTGGGGTAAACAAATGGTCTTAGAGAAGCCATGTAGGACGGCACCACATCTATATTAACTGTGTGTCCAGTGGGTGAAATGAATAAAATCCAGACACTCATTTTTATTTTGTTTTGCATAATCTTTCATTATGTAATCATTCTCCTTTGCCTCATATCCTGTACTATTATTTTTATATATCCTTATAT